ATCGATCGACAGGAGAAGCAGAACATCGATCGACATGAGAAGCAGAACATCGATCGACAGCCGCAGATGCCATGTCGAGTTAGTTTACCAGATCTTGATGCACACCGCTTGAAGGCAACTATAAACCCATCTCAGACTCCAGTTTTCTTCAACACAAGAGAGAAGATGAATCAGCAATCTGCAGAAGCACCAAAGCAAGGGAAATCAACTCTAGCTGAAACCTCTTTTGTTGAGAATGTCGATCGACGCCATACACCAGGTATCGAACGATGCCAATGGGACGGATACGACACTGCCATAGAAATTCAGGTAACGAAAGATGAGATTCCAGCTGAGATGAGAGTGAAATCTAGGAAACCCTATATTCCCAAGCACCTCAGGAGAGAAATTAACAAAGTGGAACTTGATGGATTTCACAAAAGGGTGAAGAGGGTTCCCAAGAATATGTCTTTCGAGGATGCATATTATAAGTACAGACTTGGTAATTTCTTCAGAGAAAGCAGAGAGACAGATAAGGACATTGAGCTGCTATTCAACAAGGTATGTCGTAAGCCTAATAGAACTCTGAAGAAGGAGCAAGATCCAGGGAAGTTCTCGATTCCATGTTGTATACATAACCATGATTTGCCAACCGCCCTCTGCGATACTGGATCTGCAGTCAGCATCATGGCAATAGACACTGCTGAAGTAATAAGATTAGAGGTGGAACCTTCTAAAGATAGTTTCACTTTCGCAGACAACGCCAGAGTTGATTCAGCAGGCATCATCAAGAATGTTAAAGAGGATATCGGGGATTGCACTGTTCCAGTGGACTTTCATGTCATGGAGATTAAACCAGGCACAAAAAATTCGCTTCTCTTTGGAAGAGCCTTCATGGCTACATTGGGAGCAGTTTGTGATCTTAAGAAGAACAGGATGTGCCTGACTAACGTTGATGAAACTGTCTTCTATCATCCTTTGGAAAAGAAGACCGATGCGAAGTTTATTTCATGCATAGAGATATTTGATGATCCAGCACCTAAAGATGGTTCAAACCGCGAGTCAGCAAAGCCAGAATCAATATTGATCGACAATCACCATTCAGCATCGATCGACAAGCAGCCTTCAGAATCGATCGACACGAAGCATTCAGCATCGATCGATACCCTCTGTATTTCAGAACAGATCGAGACTGAACAGTCTAAGTCTAGGGAAAAGACAAGGAGTAGGAAGAAGAAAAAGAAAAGGAATGCAGATGCAGATTTCCTATCACTAGTTCCTTCACAAGGTCAAGAGGGACGTCTTGAGTATAAAGTGCGCTGCAAAGGAAGTTCTGAACCTTTTGCCAAGGTTAGAGTGTTATGTGATCAAGAGCTGAGAGATAAAGGAGAAGTATCTGCCAGAGCTTTTATCAACTACATCAACAAACTGAGGAAGAGAGACACTAAGACTTGTTCTGGAGCAAGTTAACATCTTTGCCTGGACTAAATCAGATCTCCAGAAGTCAAGCTAATGACTAAAAATAAGCGCTGAGTGGGAGGCAACCCACTGTTAGGTAATTTTAAATATGGTTTTATTTTCATTTATTACTGATATTTTGTTTTCTAAGAATTTCAGGTAAAAAAAAAAAAACATGAATGAACAGTAACGATGGTACTGTAGCACGAACATCGAGCGACACTGTAGCAACAATATCGACCGACACTGTAGCAGAAAATCGGGAGTCACTGTAGCTGCGATCACTGTAGCAGAGTTACTGTAGCACGATCACTGTTCATCGAAAAAAAAAATAATTGGTTTTCTCAATTATGTATTACTAACCTTTAGAGTTTAGTGTTTTATTTATGTCAGGTATTAGGAAAAAGATTCAAGGAAGATGAGTTTGCATAAGAATCGACGATGACTAGCTAGCATCGATCGACAGAACATCAAGAATATCGATCGCCACTTAACTGTGTTGATCGATACTCACATCAAAGCATGTATACAATCTTTCTTTGTTACATATTTTTCCTTATGGTTTATTGTCCCACCAATCTTGGGCTGTATAACATTGTTCACATTGTTATTTAAGTCTGGGGGAGGTTCTACTAATATTATGTTTGAGTTATATATTTAGAATAAAAACCCGAGTAGATGATTGCCTCGGATATCGACCGATTAGAGCATGTCGATACCGATCGACAGTACATCACTTGCATCGACCGATGGTAACTCTTTTTCATCGATCGATACTTAATCCGGTCAGGTATATCGTTCTTACTTGTTAATTTTCGTACTTCTGCTTTATGATTTTCACCTTACCACCGACTGTGTTACACTGGGGACAGTGTAACTTAAGTCTGGGGGGATTACTAACGTTTATCTACTTTATGAGTCTTATTTAAAAATATTTTCAAAAAGTTTTATTGAGTCAAGAAGGGGATAATGATCTATTTCGATTTATTACTTGTCATCTAACTACTCTTTAAACCAGTCTTAGATTTACTGACCGCAGAAGTACTAGAGATACTAAAGCAGATCAATCTGTCAACTATGTTTGCACTTGCTGAGAATGTTTGAAGGAACCAAAGCTGACCTCCAACCTAATATTGATTTGATTTGCTTGTCTTGGGGCTTGGTATACAAGGGATCGGAATCCTCCTGCAAATCTGGAAGGTACAAATATGTAAATTTTTGGTTTCCTTCTCTCCTTCCTTTGGCATCCAAAAAGAGAAAAATAAAAAGATTGAGATGATTTTCTTAGAGGCAGAGGGAGAGGTACATTACCCATGACCCCACTATTCTAATTCAAAGGAATGATCACACATTATGGAAGCGAGGGAGAGGTAAATTACCCATGACCCCACTATTTGCCTACACTTTGTCAGAAAAGACTACAGAAGTAGAAAGATCAATAAGATGAAGATTTGTTGTTCATTGGGATTGATAGAAAAGAAAAAGAAAAATTTGAGATTCAGAGAAGGGAGATATAGGGAGAAAAGAAACCAGAATAAGAGTGCCTATTTACTCAGAAACTTGCTTGAGTTGAATCCAAGTGTTCCTTGATCGATACTCCCAAGGTAAAGCCTGCACTTATATTTTATGCAAGAAATGAGGTTAGTAGAGGGGATTGTCAGACAGGATCTGTTGAGTTGTTAACTAGGTGAATTTGGTTGCTATATTAGGATATTGTATAATGTGATTCTAAGGGTAAGATGTTTATGATTTGGTTTGCACTACTAAAGAGATGGTGACTGAGTTTTTAAAATCTTTTGTGTCCCTTCTGTTTTCAAACCTCTTTCAGAGAGACTACCTGTATATTTTGCTTGAGGACAAGCAAAAGGGTAAGTCTGGGGGAGTTGATATACTATGATTTTGACCCACTTTTTGTCATGGTATTGATATGTTTTTATGTCTATTTACTACAATATAGAGTCTATTTAGAGTATTTTCAGGTTCAGGCACGTTCTGGAGAAATATGGTGATTTTGGTGTCTTTTGGAGCCTTTAAGTGCAGAACTGCGCAGATGTGTTAGATGTTTAGATATTGATGGAGATCTTCCCATGGTGCGATTGAGCCCATCTTTTGACACAAGATAGAGCTTTGAGTTATCTTTTCAATGCCACCAGTTTGAGTTCAATCCAACGGTTAGATCAGATGTTATGCCCATTTTACTGATGAGTGGTCAGTCTGCCTCGCGAGAGAAGGTTGCCGAGAAGATATGTGCATGTCGATCGATGAGAGACACTTCATATCGATCGATATGGATGCCAGAATGCGGGCCGAGTATATTTCATGACCAACTGAAGCCCAGAAGAAACCTAAATTACCATAATACCCTTATACGACCAGAAACCCTATTTATGTTATTTGCAAGCCATTGTTGACGGCTATGCTATCTACGCTTTCTTTTCATATTTGTTTTGATTGTTCTTAGTGAGGAGAGAAGAGAGGAACTCCTTCAGAGTCCTCTTGGAACTCCATTGGAATTATCTTTATTTTCTTATTCTATTATTATTCTGACTATGATTTGTGTTTCTTCTATCATGTCTGAGTAGTTCATCTTGTTAGGTTTAGGGAGCTTAATGTTAAACTAAATATCAATTAGGATTGCTAGAATATCTATAGATCTCTACATTAGGGTGATTTGTAATACTAGGATCTGGAGTAATTAGGATACCACGATAGTGTGATTGATTGCTTGAACCTAGAATCATAGGACAATTGAGATGCACGAAAGTGCAGTCAATTAACGGAACCCGAATCCTGCTGGATTAGATACTTAGGCGCATATGAGAATTTGTCTAGGAATCTAGTTGAACATAATCGATTAGGTCGTTAATGCTTGTCTGAGGTAATATCGATCGATACTCAGGCCATAGTATCGATCGATACTCACTTCTTGTTCGCATGCAAAAGGTGGAACAAGGACTTAGACATCTGATTAGTAATTACATTGATTGATGAATTACTTACTAAAATCGAGTTCTAGAATGAATCTATAAGATGTTAGCATCTTGAATTGTTGTTTTGAATCTCTTGATTGATAAATCCCTAATAAAAATATTAATAATAAATAAATTTAGATATAACAAAATCTGTTGAAAATATATATTATTTTTAAAATATTTTAATAATTAATAAGAATATTAATAATAAATAAATTTAAATATAACAAAATCTATTGAAAAATCTAACAAGATCTTACGAAAATTTTTAAATATTTTTTTTATAAAATAAGTACTTCTTTATTTTGTTCTTTGATATTATTATAATTAAAACTTAAAATATAAATCATATATTAAAATAACTTTAATTATATATTTATAAAATGAAAAATATACCGCACGGATGTGCGGGTGAAACTCTAGTTTTGTTTATTTAGGGATTAGCATTCCTAGTTAGGATTAGCAAACTGTCTCTCTTTGTATATATATATATATTGATATACTCGACTTTGGTTCTATTATTGCGTAATTTTAACCTTCTTTTTTCTTAATCTCTCAATCGTTTGCTTGCTTCTCTAAGAAACTATAGCTATGGCCGATCAGCAAAGGAACAAGGATCTTTTCCACGATGGTCTAGCAAAGCTCTTTAAAGAACAATGGAGCCCCGATGTACTCTGTTTGGCTGGTGAGGATGATCACGAAGATCCTATCCCTGCCAATAAAGTTATTTTGGTATGTATTTTTCAATTATCTAGTTTTGCATGCAAAAAAAAGTCTCCAATTTTATGGCTAATTGATTTAATTACATATCATAGGGAGCAAGATCAGACGAACTCAGAGAGATTTGTGACGGTGATGATAATGAAAAGGCGACAATCATTCTCTACGGAATGAACCATGAAGCGTTAGAGGTTTTTATCGAGTTCATGTACGTTGGAAACTCCATACAGTATTCCGAGAAGTTGAAGAAGCACTCAAGGTCGTTATATTTTGCAGCTGATTTGTATAGCATCCCTTTATTACGAGACCTATGTAGAAACCAACTTATTTCTTCACTTAACATGGGGAATGCTCTTGACTTTTTGGAACTCTCCAAAGACGATCCTCGTGAGAAAACCCTCCACTACAAAGCTCGGTGTTGTGTCATAGATCACATGAAAGTGATTGTTTTTACTCCAGAGTTTAAATCGTTCGTGAGTAGAAACCCAAGTCTAGCCGTGGAGTTATTTATGGTTCTTGCAATAAGAGGGGGATAGAACATACCCTAAAAGATAAGACTAATATTTTACACGGAGCGGTTTTACTGGTCCGCTGTAACGATTATTTAATGAGGATCTTTGACGTACCAATCTAAAAAAATTTTTGTTAATTTTTTTTTTTTTTACTTTCGTTTCAATGCTTGAAAATATGAATGGAACTTTAGTTGACTGAAAGTGTTTTGGGCCTAATTACGGAGATGACTGTTAACTAGAAACAAAGTTTTCATTGTTTCTTGTTTTTGAAAATTTTAGACAGTGAATTATTATTCTATTACAAATAATAAAAATATCAAATAAATACTTTTACAACCAACAATTCATGGTTTATGCGAATCATGTCTCACGATTTTAGTTCCATCATCTTGAGCTGCTTTAGTTTACATAATTATTAATAAATCCTTATTTTTGAGATGGGATGTCTAGATTCTTACTATAGAAGCATTAATAAATTTTAGTTCAATCAGTAGACTAACAGAGTATTAAATATATATTGGCCAAAATTTCATTAACTAATATATTTCTTCAATAACACAATGGACGAGTTTCCTACAAAAACATATATTATTTCTTTTTATTATAAATAAAGAACAAACCAATTATATAGATTATCTGATGATTATCAATTATTAATTGGGACCAATAACCATGTTTTGAATTTTAAGTTCCGTTTTCCTATCAGGAGGATTCCTTAATTCCAAATCCTTGTAGATAAATGAAACCCTGACCATATTCATATAGATAGGCGAAGTTTTTGTTGATTGCTTGTCTTTCAAATTTTCAATAAACAAAAGCTATGGCAAATCAAACAAACGTAGAACTTTTCACCCATGGACTAGTGAGAGTTCTCAAAGAACAATGGAAGGTCGATGTATGGCTCAAGTCCGGCCACACCAATGACGATGACGAAATCATCGCCGCCCACAAAATTATTCTGGTATGTGATCTATTTTTTAATATTCATCATTAAATCCTATGGCAAATTAATTTTGTGATGATATTATAGGCAGCAAGATCAAAGGTGTTCGCGACCATGTTTGAATCCGACAAAATCAAGAGCTGGATTGTTGAAGAGACAATCACTCTCTCCGATCTTAAACATGATGAGTTGGAGGTTTTTGTCGAGTTTTGTTACGCAGGGGAGTCCATGCCGCCCGAGAAGCTAAAGAAACATGCAATGTCCTTGTACCGAGCAGCTGACAAATACGAGATTCCTTATTTAAGGGATCTATGTAGAAACCAGATTATGTCGTCTATAAACGCTTCAAACGCTTTTGAAATTCTAGAGCTCTCAAGAGTACCTCTTGATGAAACCCTCCGAGACTTTGCTAACAATTATATCGCGTTTCAGTCGAGTGTGGGTTTTACGTTAGATAGGTTTAGGACATTTAAGGATAGAGATAAGTAAACAATATACAACTAGATGATACCCGTGCGCATGGGTGGGATGAGTTTTTATATTAGAGTTTGTTCGGTTTTAACATTTTCTAACACTAATCTTTATCGAATGTAAAACGACGAATATAAATATTGGTCTCTTCAATATATCATATGTCTGGACATTCGCGGATCCATTGGTTTTGGTTCGATTGATTCGGATTTTTAAATTTTTGGTATTATGCTTTTCAGACTCATTCAGGTTTTACTGATCCTCGGATCGGTTTCGGTTCGGTTCTTTCCGCATTCGGTTTGGATCGAATTGTAACAGAAATCAGAAATCGTCCCAAAATATTTGTTTGAAACCTCGAAATTGAGAAAAAATTGTCAAATTATTTAAATTATTCGTAAATCCAATTTAAAATTAGTTCAACTATCTAAACAAACTAAATGATATTCAAAATAAAAAAATAAAACAAACTACAAAAATCATTTGAATACAATAAAATATTTAATTACCTTGATATATAAAAAAAAATTAACATATTATACTAATTTTAGATATAATCAGACCTAGTTTGGATTTCAGTTCGGTTCAGATTATAACCCAATCCCAAAATACTAAAATCATAAGTCTTGTTCAGATAAATTATAATAGCTACATTAGGTATTATGGAGAAATAAATATTAGACGAATGATCAAATCTCTCATTCTTCGAATAAACGCAAAAGGAGGTAACTGGACTTGTCATGATATTTCATTAAAAGTTTTTAGGAATAAATATCAAAACTAAATTATTTAATTTGAATGAAATAATATATAGATATATAAAGTGCTTCCAATATTAAAATCACTTAGATTTGAAGAAGTATAACTCGCAAATTGTCAGGATCAAATAACTTATTAGAAATTATGTATATAAAAATTAATTTGTATACATAAAAATATATACATAAGAGTAAGCACATAAATCAAAACTAATACCTTTTGTTAATTTACAATCATGTTTTTTCGTAAATAAATCAAATACCATTTTATTTACTTTATATTGTAATAATTAAATGTTATTGATATTGATATATATATATATATATATATAATATTTAATTTATATTTATTACTGACATTTCCTACTCATGTTGAGTTTACTAACATTTATATATTTTGCTCTAACAAAAATAAATCACAAAAAGGTTAATGTGAGATTGTTCCAATACGAATTTCAAAATTAAAATATTAAAATCTCAATAAATTTTCACTGTAAATTTTGAAATTAACATATTTATATATTTTATATCGTATATAATTTAATTTAAATGATATTGATATACATACATATATATATATAATATATATATATATATATATGAATATCTATTAATTCATATTCATATGATTTATAATCATTTGTATCTTGCTTAAGCAAAAAAGTTAAACTATTGATAAAAAAATTCAATTTGGGAGTTTTACCATTTTTAGTAATATAGTAATTTCAAAAAAAAATTTAAATATAAAATATAAGAAAAAATCTATTTTTTATTATATGCTTCATGTGATTTTTCAATTATTTTTAATAATATAAAATTAAACAAAAAGAGAAAAGGATACAAAAAATGTTAGCAAATATGTATTATTCATAATCTTTAATTGTCATATGTATGTTAATCATATTAGGCAATTCCGTAACTTTTATTTAAGGAAATAAATAATATTATTTGTACACTAATAACTAATTTGATAGTTAGTTTAATAAAAAATATAATATATATAGTTATATGGACCAAATTATTTTTATACGAATTCTGAGAATTGTCCTGGTGATGCCACATGGTTTTGAAAACATGTTGTAATGCTCTACGATTAATATATAGAGGATTTCTATATTTTATAAAATATAAATTTCACAAAATTTTCATTTTAAGACTTTTAACAGCTTTAGTAATTTATAGCTGTTTTTTTTAAATATATAACATATAAAAAATAGATTTTTATTATATGGTAACGTGATTTTTTAATAATATAAATTAAACAAAATTGATGGAGGATACAAAATATATTATCAAATCTTTATTATTAAATTATTAAATATCATATATATGTTAATAATATTAGGTAATTTAGTAAAATGTATATTTATATTTAGATGGACCAACATACTTTTCTAAATAGAAGACACATTGCTATATTTAAATGTTGTAATACTCTAAGATTAATATATTGGGGATATATGTATGCTTGATGCTTCCATGTATGACTTGTTTCGATTTACTCATATTTAATATGGTCACCTCATTCATCACTCATGAATTGGCCGATGCTATGGTCAGTTTCAGTTCGAGTAACTAGTTTGTCCATGGCAGTATTAAACTTGAATAATCACAATTTTGAAGAAAAAATGTTAATAATTAGCATTATAGCTAGTACGTAGTATTAATATTTTCATCTTTTTTCTCTTCATATCCAAGTTCTTATATGATTCATATTAACTCAATAAATATATAGTATTTGCAAGAAAATTTTATTTAGTTATATAAACAGGATGAATTAAAATTATTATATGGTATGATATTAAAATTATGTTATATGATAATTGTTTTAAAATTATTATATGTTAAGTCATTTTGATATTATATTAAGCAAAATATTTTTCACAAGCTTTTCCTAGAGTAAATATAATTCACATAGCTTTAATTATAATAAAACTAGCGTGTTTTTTAATAGGACAAAAGACATAAATAAATAAAATAGGAGGGAAGAATAACAAAATATTTTTTGTGTTTTTTTTTTGTTTCTTTTACATTCTTATGGATTTAATTTTTATTTGTTTGTCAATATACATAGAAATAGGAGGGAGAATAGCAAGGTCAGGACAGGATAAAGTTGTCTTTTTTGTAACCTATCTTCTGCACAGAAGACTTCGTAGAAGACTTACAGTTAAGTCGTCTGGAATGTTGGACGATTTAACTATAAGTCATCTGGAAAGTCTTCTGTGCGGTGACCTTTTGTAACCTTTCGGATAATATAAAAGGCAAGATCTTCCTACATTTGTTTGGTAGTGCAATTTGACAAAGAAGTTGACACAGATAAGTTCATAACAAAAATTCTTAATACATAGATTCATAACCCAAATTTTTAATATATAGATTCATAAACACTGGATGACTAACTTGAAGGTCTCCTGGAAGAATAAACCCAGGACAACTAACTTTAAGGTCTTCTAGAAGAATAAACCATGGACGACTAACTTTAAGGTCGCCTAGGCGACTTACTTGAAGGTCTTCTAGAATACTAAACACTGGACGACTAACTTTAAGGTCTTTTGGAAATAAACCCTGAACGACTATCATTAAAGTCGCCTGGACGACTTACTTGAAGGTCTTCCACGTCGTACTTTACATTGTGTTTTCATATGACCAGTTTCTCTGCATACTGTGCATTTAGAATCTATGTGTTGCTTCCGGGATTTGCGTCCTCTCATCCTGGATAGCTCCAACCAAGATTGCCATCTTAATTTCTTCAGTCTTTCCGGACCACGCTTTACATCCGGAGGAAAGCATGTGTGTTCTTCTACTTGTTGTCCAGCACAAGGATATATATTCTCTGAGTATCCTGCAAACAAAGAATCCTTTGAGTACACTGGACATACAAGTGTGGAGATATGAAAACCATCATATGTTCTAGCAGCTATAGCATGAGAGCAAGATATTTTATCCACTTCATAGACACCACAATCACACTTTCCATGTTCCAAATCAACCACACAGTCCATTTTGCCATCTTTCACAAAGAATCACCATCCATCAATTGGTTGGGCCCTCATCGTATTCGTTACCTCCGATCGAACAATAAGCAAGTACTCAACACCCTGACTATGTTGAGTTGGGAGAATCGAAGCATCTTCTGTCTTTTTTCAAAACCACATACTTAGCTTCTCCTTTATGAACTCCAACGGGAACTGAATCAGAAATCTTCTAGCTTGCTTTAGTGCAAAATTAATAGATTCAACGATGTTTCTTGTTTTTATGTTGTACCCGTCTCCCTGACAATAAACCCTTGACCATAGGCTGACGTCAGCATTCTCCGAATACGTTGCAAAATCCGGGTATTCACTCCGTATCTCAGTCATGTACCGGTCAAAATATGAAATCGTATGAGCATAAGCAACACCTTTCACCAAGTACAAGAGATGTTTCCTTTTATACTTTTTGACAATGTTATCTTGAAGTTGATAATAACATATTCCTCGGGTTTCCCAAGGAAACACCTTATGACACACACTTTATTGGCCGTTTTCAGCTCGGAGACTATCACCAGAGGCTGCTCATTAGATACACAACTAGCCAATTTTGTGAAAAACTATTCCCAAGAAGGTTCATCTTCTGCATCTACGATCCCAAAAAGCCAATGAAAATATTTGAAAATTCCCATCTTGTGCGGCTGCAACTAAATAAACACCTCCATACTTCCCACTTAGGTGAGTCTTATCCATCACAATGACCCTTCTATGATACTTAAAACCTTTGATAGAAGCTCCAAAATATAAAAATAGATACTTAAATCTATTGATAAAATCAATTCTATAGCCGTGATAGAATTAGAATTTGCTAAGGAGATTTGCTCGAGATATGATGGCAGACGCGAATACCCATCTTCTGCTGATCCTCTCACCAATGTTTGTGCATATAACAGTGCTTTGTATGAAATGGTGTAATCAAGTGTCATGCCAAACATGTTCTTTATTGCATCAGTGTTATGCTGCGGAGTCAACCCATCAATGATTCCAACACAATCAACGAAAAGCCTACCAACATACTTAGGAGTACAGTGTCTCGGCTGAGCGATTTGGTCTTCCACTGAGCATGTATGTGTTTCCACATACTTTGTTACCCAAAACGTGCTTGTCCCATGTGTTACACTCGCTCTTATCTTTCATCCACAACCACTAACCCGACATGTTGCCACAAGGAGAGTTTTCGTTGACTTGTATATTCTGAAGGAGAATCTACACCTCACTGCTGTCAACCGTAGCT